GCAGCCACAAAAATCAGGGCACCAAACACATGTAAGACCTCCCCTCTAAGAGATGCTGACCTTCTGGAGTACAGCAGAGGGAGAACGAGAGATAGTACCTGCCCTTTGAGGGCTCAGGAAAGGTTTACAGCAGCCCTTAAATGTGGGTGGTTGGGTTTTTTTTTGTTTTGTTTTTAGATTTTATTTGTCAGAGCACAAGCAGGTGGAGCGGCAGGCAGAGGAAGAAGCAGGCTCCCTGCTGAGTAAGGAGTCCCATGTGGGACTCTATCCCAGGACCCTGGGATCATGACCTGAGCAGAAGGCAGACGCTTAACTGACTGAGCCACCCAGGTATCCCAAATGTGTGTTTAATTAGAAGCCTGCCTCTCAGATCACAGCTATGATATAAGCTAATAGACCTCTTTCACAAAAAGAGTGAGCTCCTAGTTCTCTTTTCCTCTTGCTAGGCCTTGGGGTGGTAGCTTGGTAGCTGTTTAAGAACTCTTTCTCTGTTGGTTACAGTCCTGTGGGATTTGTGAGCATAGACTCCACTGGCCACCAGAGCCACGTGATGTAGAGGTGTCCCCCCAGAAGCAGCTGTAAAAATCAAGGCACCAGCCACGAATATAATAAGTTCCTTTCTTAAAGATAATGGCAAGCTTGAGCAAAGTGGATGGAGAGTGTAAATATTGCATCCACTTGCCTCTGTTCAGTGAGAGCAATTCTGTGGGTATCTATAAATGTGCCAAACCAGAAGCCTCAGGTCAGAGCCCCTGGACTAGCAAATAGGTCTCTTTCTCAGACTGGGAATGGGTTTTGGTCTTCTATCTGTACTCTGCTCTGGGAGTTAGTCTGCCAAACTGCCTCTTTGTTACAGCCCTGTGGGACCCAGGAACCCCTCATTCTCTAGAGCCAGGTGATCAAGGGGTGTTTTTTGAGTGTCAGCCACAAAAACTGGGTTACCAGGCATGGATAAAAGCTCTCCTCCAGAAGATACTGGTGCTCTATAGCATAACAGAGAGATTAATACGATGGCACTCACCAGCCTTCTCCCCAGAGAGTCCTCCTGTAGGCCTCTGTCCCTCAGACCAGTGCTTTCACATTAGCAAATGAGTCTGTTTCACATAAAGTCTGGTCAGCTGCAAAGGACTGCTTCCGTGCTGGGCCTTGGGGCAGGTGAATCTGCACATGAGCCTTTTAAGAGCCATTTTTCAGTTTACCATATCTGGTAGGTATAAACCCTGGAGGTCTTCAAAGCCAGATGTTTTGGAGTCTCATCTCTCAGGTGCCAGTCTTAAATGTTAGGATGCCCAATGTGGGATCAAGCACTTTGCTTCTCAGGGAGAGCCTCCAACTTTTGAATCCCCATCCGATTATGGGTCCGTGGTGGGGGTTTATGGTGAGATCGTGTCTCAGCCTTTCCTACCCACTTTGATGTGGTTTTCCCCTTGTTTACCAGATGTGAAGAGCTCACTCTGCCAAGTTTTAGGTTTTTTTTTCAGAGGAAATTGTTCTATAGATAGCTATAGATTCAGTGTGTCCATGTAAGGTGAGTTGTAGGTTCCTACATCACTATCTTGAATTGGAGTTTGTTTTTTTTTTTTTTTTTCTTTTCCTAGTAGAGTTATATTTATTTCGACAAAATTATAAAGTAAAACTACAAAGAAAAATATTTGACACAGAGACACATTTTGTAAAGAGGAAGGTTAGCAGTAATTGGTGTAAGTATAATAAATTATATCTGTTGATATTCTGGAGGAAAGTATTACCAGAAGAAACACTTATATACAGCATTGTTGCCATAGCACGTGAAAACATTCCCAGAAAAAATTAGTGATTTTCATTTGAACACTTAATTTTTCAGCCCTCTTTGAATTTATATTCTGAAATTTGATGTTCTATTGTAGTTTCCACTTGCATGGTTTATCTTTCCCATCCCCTTCTCCCTCTCTTCTGAAATCCTGATTATTCTGATATTTGTCTTTTTTATAATCACCACTCATTTAGGCTTTGTATACTTTAAGTTCCCTCTTCTGTGTTATTTCAAAATTCTTATCCTCCATGCAATTATTCTTTCTTTCATGTGGTCTGTATATGCTCTCTGTTACATTCTGATCTAATTTACTGAATTTTTGCTCCAGAATTTGGAAAGAACTCATTTTGTATTTTTAATTCTTGATTTGATTGAATTCTTTCTGAATTTCCTTGTAACTTGTTGAGTTTCCTCATTACAGCTATTTGAAATTTTTATCTGCTGCTTTCCCAATTTCCTCCCAATCCCCAGTTATACATCTCCCACCTTAGTACTCCAGGTGCTGAGGGAGAGAATGGCTTTCTCTGGTTGCCGTAACTAGGCACTCACTGCTTTCCTTTCCCCTGCAGGAGAGGTCACTGCCACCAGATGAATTAGCACCCTTCAGTGTTTCATTGGGCACAGGGGTGGTGCCAGGAAAGTTTCTCTTACAATCTCTCAGGTGGCCGAACTCCTATTTTTCTCCCCTTTACAATGGTGTGCTAGAGTCTGCTTAGGGAAGACTCTCTGACACTATTCCAGTCTGTACTCACCCAATTTTTGTCTTGGAGAGGCAAGAATGGTCTAGGCAGTTTGGCTCACTCCTCTGGTGGGTGAGACTCCTCCCAGGTTCCTTGGAGTAAGGTGATGGGTCTAAAAACACCCATGAGGGTGCTTTTGTTCATGTATGAATGTCTAATCCGTTGATTTTTGGGGTGGATAAATAGGAACATTTTATGCCAGCATGTTGCTGACCTCACTCTCCAGAATCATCAGATGTACACTTTAGAAAGTTTACTTTGGCTGCAGGGTAGAGAAGAGTCAAAAGTGTAGCAGTATGAAATGAGGGAACATTTATGATTCTTTCTAATCTGAAGCTAACACAAATGTTTGATTTTATATATAGTATTCTGTCATTTATAAAGTTACTTTAATATTAGTCTAATAGGTTTTTCCCAGTGAAAGAAATATTAACTAGATTACATCATTAATTAAACCTACAAAGTGATTTTATTATAATTAAGTTTGAAATATAGGAGGGGAAAATGAAATAATGTATATTTATCAATAACAGCTTTTTTTATCTGTACTTTACAAAAGAAGGAAAGGATGACATGGACATAGGCTATTTGCTTAAACAAGGTACCCTTTATATATAAAATGGAAGCTTAGAAAATACAGCATTCCATCTAAAGGGAGAATTAGCCAAGGTAACATTATGTAAGAACATGAAAATACCTATACCCTTGCCATTCTGCTTTCACTTGAAGTTAAAAAGTAAATACTAGAGCTACTGAAAACTGTGACTGTCCTAGCAGTACTTAAATATACAGAATTGAATTTGACCTTATTTTGTTACTGATAAAACTTCCTTTTAATAAAATGAGATTTCAATAATATTATACAAAGTAGGGAATATTTTCACTAAATGCATCTGACTTTAAAATTCTGTGACTAGCAAAATCCATTTTATTATTATTCATAGTATTCATATTTGTTATTTATTCATTTTAGTTTAGTTAGGTAATTGAAAACAAAAGCATTTTAAAGATGGATTTATTTTAGAGCGAGCATGGGAGGGAGGGGCACGGGGAGAGTGAGAGAGAATCCCAAGCAGACTCTGTGCTGAGCAGCAGCCCAGGCAGGATCAATGCCACCACCCTGAGATCATGACCTGAGCCGAAACCAGAAGTGCGATGCTCAGTCAACTGTCCTACCCAGGTGGCCCCAAAACAAAGGCATTTTATATTGCAGTAGCATAGAAGTTTCTAATTCCATACCTGCTTCATAGAGACTAAACCCTAAGATTAGAATAACATCAAGATGTTTATTTATTAGATGGTCATAAAGATGTTTAATGGCTACTGGTAAGTCAAAGTTAGTAATAAAAGTGCAAAATCTCCTATTTAGTGACAATCTACACTACTAGTTTGAAGTATCATACAAAATGGTTTTACTAGCCATAATCAGTTTTTCTTGATTTATATATAAGCTGAAAATGAATCTTCAGTGCACAGTAAATAAAAAAATACTTTTGGTTACTGCTTTGTACAATTATGGTAGAGATCTATAAACCATATCAATAACAAGCCTTCATAGTACTAGTGGGTATTATTTTTCCAGTAATTTTGTGATAAATTCTTTGAGTACTATTACACATTAAATGTAGATTATTTTGTGAAATGGTGTTTTAATGATAGAGGACTTTGCTTTGGGGAGCCTGGGTGGCTCAGTTAAGCTTTTGACTCTGGATTTCTGCTCAGGTCATGATCTCAGGGTGGTGGGATCCAGCCCCTAGGCAGTCTCCTCGCTAGGCGAGGAGTCTGTTTGAGATTCTCACCCTCTGCCCCTCCCCACACTGGTATGTGCCTGCTCTCTCTCAAATAAATAAATCTTAAAAAAAAAAAAAAAAATTTGTTGTTGGTCACACTTGGGAAAAGAATCCAGATTTTTCTGGACCATGTTCTTTTTAAAGAAACATTTCTGGAGACGATGGACTCTGAAAAACAAACTTAGGGTTCTAGAGGGGAGGCGGGTGGGGGGATGGGTCAGCCGGGTGATGGGTATTAAAGAGGGCACATTCTGCATGGAGCACTGGGTGTTATACACAAACACACAATCATGGAACACTACATCAAAAACTAATGATGTAATGTATGGTGATTAACATAACAATAAAAAATTAAAAGAAATATATAGGAAGAAGTATTACATAGTGGTTGAACATTTGAGTTCTGAATTCTGATTGCTTATTTTGCCTCCAGCAGTCTGCCTCACTTAGTAACTACCTTAAGGGAGTTGTGAGAATGGAGGTAAAAAGTATAAACTGTTGAGCATATTATTTCACAGTAACAACATTAATCAGGAGCTTTCCCTGCTAGAACTTGCTGTTAATAATATTTATGTTCAAGAAGTATTCATCCTAAATTAAGACTAAATTATTAAAAATATGAAATACACTTTTATTTTTATATCAGATAATTTTTTCTCTAATCTTTTTTTGTTTTAGGTCACTTTTCACATCGAACCATATAGCAATCGAGATGATCAAAACATGTACAAAAATGTCAAATATATTATAGACAAGTGAGTGTCTTCTGTGTTTATAATTACTGTTTTACGATCCAATAATTGTTTTAAGAAGAGTACATTTAAATTATATTTGAGATTTGAATGACTTATGGTCTGAGACACTAAAATTTTGTAATGAATAATCATTTTGAGGAACATTTCTGAAATTATTTATGATTCACTTTCTGTATAGATTTATTGTTTGTGTTTAATAAGTTATTTAATGATTTGTTGGCTGACCTTTTAAATTGATATCCTATAAATCATGACTAGAGTTTTGTTTTTTTAAAAGAAGGTTCAAATTATGAAATGTGAACTGCTTTTATATCCGTGGACCCACATCTAATATTTTCATTTATATTTAGTCTGATTACAAGGAAAAAGTTAATACAGTTTCATTTTGTTCAAGGATTTTACTGATAAGAACCTGTGACAGACACTGTACTCTTAAAAAGAAACTTGTCAGCAACAGTGAGACATTTATCACTGATAGCAGTTGACATATTCATATAGAAAATGGGCTTTTTATGGTGTTGGTCATCATTTGTAAACCCAGTATGTCTTGATATATCCAGTATCTCAATTTTCCTATCTGCAAAATTGAAAATGCATTTTTAATGATTATCCTTAATATAACTGATCCCCCAAAGAAAGTGAACCAACTGCACTGATTACTTTCATTTTCAGTATAGAAACAGTTATTGTCTGTGGAAAATGAGTTACAGATATTCACTTCTACGTATTTTTCTTTCTAGATACGGAAATCATCCGGCCTTTTATAGGTACAAGACTAAGACCGGCAATGCTCTTCCTATGTTTTATATCTATGATTCCTATATCACAAAGCCTGAAAAATGGGCCAATTTGTTAACCACCACAGGGTCTCAGAGCATCCGCAATTCTCCTTATGATGGACTGTTTATTGCACTTCTAGTAGAAAGCAAACATAGATATGATATTCTTCAAGGTGGTTTTGATGGAATTTACACATATTTTGCCACAAATGGCTTTACTTATGGCTCATCATATGAGAATTGGGTGAGGCTAAAATTTTTTTGTGACCAGTTCAACCTACTGTTTATCCCAAGTGTGGGCCCGGGATATATAGATACCAGCATCCGCCCATGGAACGCTCAAAACACTCGAAACCGAATCAGCGGGAAGTACTATGAAACTGCTCTGGGTGCTGCACTCCATGCCCACCCCAGTGTGATTTCTATCACCTCTTTCAATGAGTGGCATGAAGGAACTCAGATTGAAAAAGCTATTCCCAAAAGAACCAGTAATACAGTGTACCTGGATTACCGGCCTCATAAACCAAGTCTTTATCTAGAACTAACTCGCAAGTGGTCTGAAAAATACGGTAAGGAAAGAGCAACTTATGCATTAGATCAGAAGCTGCCTGTTTCTTAATGCATTAATAATTATAGAAATCACCTAGTACCTTTTAAGTATATACTGATTGGCAGTTATCCCCATAATAAAAAGAATTTGTATTTTTTTTAAAAATGGTAATATCATCATTGCCACCCTTCACAATGCTGCACTGAAAAAATATCAGAAAAAGTGTGCAAATTACATTCCCTGTGGCATATGCTGAATTTCTGACTGAAATTGAAATTCTACTTTGCTACTAAGTTTTATTTCACACAAAAATGTTTGTGTTACATGGGTTAGTGCACAGTTAAATCCTTCTTGTATTCTGGGCTCAAAGAAATAGATTGTGTGTATTTAATATGTCTAGTGAAGAAAATAAGACCTAGAAGATAGTGTACATGTTTCAGTCATCCAGAGTCTGTTCACTAATAGTCTCCATTAAAAATTCTTAAGGAAAATAAAATCATAACTTAAGCCTTACTGTGAATCACATTGTGTTAGGAAGGCCTGCTTTCTACAGCACAATATGCATCATCCTTTGAGGATTTTTTGATTTCTTACAGCATGTTAGGTGTTTTGCATGTCTAATGTATCTGCTTTACAATGCTGAATTCCAGATTTTAGAAGCTGTGAAACGTTCTTTCATGCTTCTCTATTAAGAAAACATAGTTGGTTCACAATTACGAAGATAGAATGCCCAAAATACCACTTTTTGGATAACCTGTCAATTTTTAACTTGTTATTCTATTCATGTTTTTAAAATTTAATGTTAATCAGAGACCAACTGTTAGTATCAACCTTTTTCTTTCTTACCTATCATGGGATTTCCTTCTTAATATTTTAAGCTACTTTTACCAAAATAGAATTTACTTAGCATGTTAGGAACATGGAAATGAAAATTCTTTTATATCTTAAACTTACAAGTCAAACTTCAGGAATGAATTTAACACTTAATGATGGCAATAATCTCGTTTAAAAGACAATATATCCCCATGTAAAAACATTATACTTTCATGGTATCTATCAGATTCAATACTTGTGATCAGTTGTCATATTGTGACAAATTAATCCACCTGTATGCTAAAAATAAATCTCTTTAATAGAGTATATGTTATCCTTCAGTTCTTATAGTTAACTAGAACTATAAAATATATATATGCTATTACAAGATTATCATTTCTTAGATATTTAATTTACTAAAGAGAAGCAATACTAAACAATAATACATATAAATCTTCAGGTTTTAGAGATATTCAGAAATAAAGCAACCGTAGAATTTATCATAACATAGCCCATCAGGTGATGAAATTTATTTTAGCCAGTGATTTTGAAGTAAAAATCTTTTCTTTGAAAAGAGGCATGATTAATGTTAAACTTATTTATAACTTAAAAATTTGCCATTTCTGAGAATGATCAGTCCTTGAGAAATTAGAACAATAGTAGTAAACTACTTTCTAGAGGAAGTTATGAGACTAAATCACTATAGTGATGTAACCAAGCCTCTTCATAGGAACATTCATACAGATATGACCTGTGGATTTTTTTTTTCTTATATCCAGTTGGCCACTCTATGTTATTATAGGCATGACACATTTAGAGTTTATTCCTAATAATCACTTTTACCATATTGTATTAAATTTAGAGAAAATACTACTACAGAGGAGTTCTTGTCATTGCTTATACTGTATATTTGAACCTACCATGACAGAAAAAGTTCTGAGATTAAGAGAATAAAAACAAGGTCAACAAATACTCAATGTGAATACCACCACTTTTTATCTTGCTCCCACTGCAGACCTAGATAATCTACTACAGCACTCTTGACCTCTGAACTTTGTTGTGGTTCCTAACACATTACTCCAACCAGCCAGTTATGACCAGATTTCAAAGTAAGATAAAACAGATTTGTTCTCAAGGGAAGAATGTTTGGAATCTGATCTCATAATGGTTTAAGGATTTATAATTATATGAAAATCTGTGTCTTTTTGCCTATTTTAAAAACTAGGAAGAATTATCTCTAATTTCATAAATCTTCCTCAGGTATTCATTACAGTTGCCTTTATCATTTGACTTATAACCATTTAGATCATTATGATCACAAGTAAAAGCAAAGAACTGATTGCCTAAACTACCGAGGTGTGAATTCAATAAACTAAAATACCTGTTAAACAGTGTAATATATGCAATTCATGAATCACAATTCTTTTATGGTTTAATCAGTCTGTTTTGACTGTATAGAAAACAATCTTTGTTTTGTTCCTCTTAAGGACGAATATTGTCAGAAACTGCTGTTATTAATGTTTAAGTTGTACGTTAACTATTTTCTGTTTTAAAAGTAAAAGACTATTTTGTTATATGGAGTCATTAACTTTCATTTAATAAAAGCATACATGAAATAGTGTATCTTAGGTATAAAAATGTGTCCCTTTCTATTTATGAAATATTTAAATTCTGATTAACAGATGAAAAATAGTAGTCATTCAGCACTCTATATATTTTTTCTATTTGAGATATGTAGCACTTACAAAGTCTGTATCTTTAACTGTATATACATTTTTAAATCTGTGAATTTGTTAAACACACAAAAAAACAAAGGTTTTGGGGGGTGTGGGGGCAGAGATGTTTTATTTTTTTATTCTTTGGGCATAATCATGTTAGCCGTAACTCCTTTGGGAGATCTTACCCTAACAAGCCACCAGAGAACCTACCAAGTTTATAACCATCACTTTTTCAAACTGATCAGTTCAACATGACGACTGTTCCTGAACTCTGTAGTGCCTATAGAAACAGCTCTTGAAAGTCTATCTAAATTTTGAATTAAGGTCGAAAACCCTCATGTCCCATAGTATAGAAGCAATACTATTTATGACCAGAAAAATTCTAGTTATTTTTATAAATATCTGTAATTTTTTTTTAAAGATTTTATTTATTTATTAGAGTGAGAGAGAGAGAGCACATGAGAGGGGATAGGGTCAGAGGGAGAAGCAGCCTCCCTGCCCAGCAGAGAGCCCAATGCGGGACTCGATCCTGGGACTCCAGGATCATGACCTGAGCAGAAGGCAGTCGCTTAACCAACTGAGCCACCCAGGCGCCCCCTAAATATCTATAATTTCAAAATGAAAAATAGACCTAGCCACAAGCAAAAAAGCTTTTTAGCTCAGATAAAATTTTATGCTGACTTTGTTATATATCCACAAAGTCTAAATGTTATTGTATGCTTCCTATAAGATTATCATTCTTGAGAATTCAAGTGCTACATTGGCTTAATTACTTTACAGAGACTCATTGTATTCCAATCAAAGAACTTAGTAGTAGTGCTATTATATTTCATCAATGGAGAGAGTAACATTTTTCAATGTGGTTAGTTTCTGTTGTTACATAAGTTATGATATCAAAAGAAAAAATAAAGAACTAGTAAGTAAATGGTCACAGATCTAAAATTTAGTGAAGTTAAAACATAGTAGCACTATTTTGGATGTTCTACACTTCATTTAAAAGCGTCTTATATATTTTAAGTTTCTCAATTTATATTAAAAAATTAACCATAAATTTAATCATAAAGTTAGAGACTTTCAGAAAATACCCCATGAAATAAGTACTTCATGACATAAGGCAATGCTGTACTATGGTTGGATAATTCTATATATAATTTAACCTATGGTATATGATTGTATCTTTATGCTTTGTTTTTGACTTTTTGAAAGAATTGGTTAATCTGAGCAAAGATTGTTGTAAACAACATGAAATAAAGTGACACTCTTTAGCTATTCAATTACATTTAAAATACATTAATTATAATTATGTTCATGCATAAAAGTGAGTCAGTTTTTAAAAAGCCATTATGAAAACACTATTAATTTGATAATAATGTCTAATGTAATGTGATCTTTACCCTGATTTTGAAACTATCAAATACAAAAGAGAAAAATACCTAGAAGAAATTCAATTGTAATAAATGCAATAAGGTTTAGAAATATATATTTAAACACAGTCACCTAAGGGTAGTGTGTCAGAATGTTTTTTGGATGTAATAAGTTTATTGAATGCTGCCATTCTATGTATTGTTTTTTAATTACTTAGATTCCTCAGCCATGTGGCAGTCTATTAAGCCATTAATATTAAAATAGAGCAGTCTAATCTCGGGCCTCGTGTAAAAAGTTAACTGCAAGGCTGCTAAATTCTTACTTGAAAATTTGGTGTTATATTTAATTAAAGTACATTCTTGAAAATTATGCTCTTGACTTTTTAGCTGTCTTATAAAAAAATGTTGACAATCATTTTATGAATAGTAGCTGAGCTCAAATTCTGTTTTATTTTTCCTTATGAGTATTATGTATTCTTAGCTAAAGACAATATAATCCCCAAATAAAATATTCTTTTAATGTATATTTTATTTCATTGTTTTCTTTTTACTTGAGTCATTTTTATATAGAGTGTAGGTAATGTTTCCCCTTTTTAAAATGTGTACTCATTTTGAAAACAGGATTTAAAGTATTTTTTCCATAGAATTTAAAAATATATGAACAATGAAAGATGGGATTTTTAAAAAGAATATACATATACAATGCTAGCATATATGGTTGACTACATATTTGGTATTGAGCTTCTGAATAGTTAATACAAGATGTTATATGATTTTTTTGCCAGGAAAGAAGCACCTTCTTTCCCCTACAAGGTAAACTTGACCTTGTCATCACAATTTAAAATAAAAGGTAAAGCATAGGGAATATAGTAATGGTGCTGTAATAGTATTGTATGCTGACAGATGGTAGCTACACTTAAGGTGAGTTGTTGAGTCACTATGTTGTACACCTGAAAATAATGTAACATGTATCAACTATACAAAAAAAAAAATTTCAAATTGGCATTATACCTACAGTTAAAAAATGTAAAAACCTACAGGAACCTGTCAGGTAATGTACTGTAAATAAATGCATCAGGTTTAAGACCCTAGAGAGTCCTAGGAACTGTGGACTACTCTCACCTAAAAGGAGTACTTGCTAATCAGCTCTGTCAATTCATTTTGTAGTTATGGGTCACTAAAATGAGGAAGTATGTATGCCCGTGTGTGTAT